TTGTTGTTTGGCGGGTCCGGGCTGGGGATTTGAACCCGCCACCTTAGGTGTACGTGGCTGGCGCCTTAGCCGGTTGAGCTATAGGTGCCGAGCCGACTTCTGTATTTCTAATTTTGTTTAAGGTTCCCCCTTGCTTTTAGGTTGTATATGTAGCCTCTAAGATTTGAGGTTTTAAAAAATTTTTTTTAGAGACAGAGTCTCACTTTATCACCCTCGGTAGTGTGCCATGGCGTCACAGCTCACAGCAACCTCAAACTCCTGGGCTTAGGTGATTCTCTTGCCTCAGCCTTCCAAGTAGCTGGGACTACAGGTGCCCACCACAACACCTAGCTATTTTGTTGTTGCAGTTTGGCCGGGGCGGAGTTCGAACCTGCCACCCTCAGTATATGGGGCTGGTGCTCTACCCACTGAGCCACAGGCGCTGCCCCATAAGATTTGGGTTTTTATTTTTTTAAAACATTTATTTATTTATTTATTTATTTATTTTTCTAATTTTTAAAATTTTTTTGTAGCTTTTTTTTTGGCTGGGGCCAGGTTTGAACCTGCCACCTCTGGCACATGGGACCAGTGCCCTACCCTTTTGAGCCACAGGTGCCACTCAAGATTTGGGTTTTTAATACCAATTTTGGAATTTAAAGTTTGGGTAAATGATGTAATATATGAATCCAATTTTATTTTTAACCAGATAGCCAGAGTTTCCATTTCTTTCTCATTCTTTAAAAAATTCTGACATTTTTAAAATCTACATATTGGTTTTATAGTACATATATAGAATCTATGAACACATACACCTATCAGAGCTATGTGCTCAAAAAATATTTTTAAGCTGAAAGTATTGCTTGATAAAAAAGTTTTGGAAACTATGGTTCCTTGAGCTCCTTATACTTTTAGCTTCTTAAGGGCAGGGATTGTGATTTTCTGTATCTTTGAATCCATAGCTAAGACTGTCTCTGACACATTGTATGTGTTTGAAAAATAGGTGTTGAATTGAATGAATGAAATGCCAGTATTTTGTGTTGTAAGTAACACAGCTGTTGAGAAACTTGACCTTCCAGCTGTGTCCTGTGGCAAGATATCAGAGACGAAGAACAAGCAATGACTCATGATAGCAGGTAGTACAACTCCATTGGTGTCAAGTTCAGGCATTTTTAATATGAGAATATAAATCATTAAAATCTTAAAGACTTTCCTGTGGCTTATAATCCACAGGTGCTTCAGAAACTGGTAATTTTTTTGTGACTCAGGCTTCTTAAAGCCAGTCTTTATTCTGTAATGGCAATTTGCAGGAAGAATCAGTCCTCTCAATACTTCTATGGCAAAAGCATGATTACATTTATTTTTTATTTTAGTTATTTCTTTTACTTGAGACAGGGTTTTACTCTGTCACTCATGCTGGTCTAGAGTGGTATGATTATAGTTCACTGCAGCCTCAACCTCCTGGGCTGAAACAATACTCCTGCTTCAGCCTCCTGAGTAATTGGAACTAACAGAGGTGAGCCACCATGCCTGCCAATTTTATGTTTGTAGTGATCCTGTCTAGCTATGTTGCTCAGGCTGTTCTCGAACTCCTGGGCTTAAGCCTTCCTTCCTTTTTGGCCTCCCAAAGTGCAGGGTTTACAGGTGTGAGCCACTGCACCTGGCTTACATTTAAATTTAGACTGTGCACTTCCAGAAGACAAAGACATTCTGGAATATAAAGTGTGGACAGTATCCAAAACCTCTGCCATCAATTACTAGTTGGGAAAATCCCAAGTATCTTTTTCCCTTCTTAGTAGACAAATTAACCTTAGCAAAGGATAGTAACTTTACTCTGGGCTTTTGAGTTGTTTTGAACAATACTCTATGGAATTTCATTTACTTAATCAGATAGGTTATGTTTAATGTAACTATATCCTTTGGACTTTTTTTTTACAGATTCCTATATTTACTATTTTTTTGTTTCCTTTTTTTTTCAATTACAGCAGTTCATAGATCTAGTTGATTGTTAAAATGAGTTTGGTGCTTTTATCACTGGACATTGTTCATCATCTCTATTTTTCTTTTTATTTTAGACTCAGGGTAAACCTAGCACGGCCTCTCTGTTGTGGCTTTAGGAAACTCAAACCATGCCAGACTTGTTTCTGCTGGTACGAAAGTAACCAGTAATTGTTTTTTACTTAGCTTACTTTGCTCCTGTTTTTTTCTTCAGTGTTTTAGGAGGAAAAGGACAACTGGGAGCAAGGGAACGCAAATAAATTGAAGAAGTAACCATTTGGTATTTTAATTCATTGAGAAAATATAGGAGATACTTAGCATATACCGAAGTCTAGTTTATTCATGGTCCATGCTCTTTTTCTCTTAGAAGCCTCTCACGTTCCTTCTTACTTTAATATATGAGTTATGTGGCAGGATCAATCTGTACAAGAGCGAATCCAGAAGTTGAGTGACGTTATTTAGTGCAATGGATAAATCATTCTCAAAAATTAGCATGCGGGTTAAGATTACACTTATATTTAGAGAAACACTTTAAAAATTAAAATTTACACCTAAACAAAAGAGAAACTTGACTCCCATAGATAAAACAAGTATTTAAAAAAAATAATGAACGACGAACTTGAGAAATAGTTCTGATCGGAATGCTCTTATAAGAAAAAAAAAGAAAGGAAATTCGTTCCAAAAGACACTGCTGCTTTTTTCAGAGAGGCAAAAAACTCTGTCTCACTCTGTTGCCCTGGGTAGAATGCCCTGGTGTCAGCCTAGGTCGCAGCAACCTCAAATTCTTGGGTTCAAGCCATCCTCTTGCCTCAGCCTCTCGAGTAACGGGGACTGCGGGCGCCCGCCACAACTCCCGGATAGATTTTTCTATTTTCAGTAGAGACGGGATTGTCTTTGCTCAGGCTGGCTTTGAACTCCTGATGTCAAGCGATCCACTCACCTAGGATTACATGTGTAAGCCCCCACTCCCAGCCAAGATCCTGCTTCTCGAACAAAACTTGTACTTTGCAGTCTTCCCGCTGCTACTAAAACTGTGGACACCAAGAGGAAATGAACGAAAGCCAAGGAACGCCCAGTGTAATGTGCTAACGTTCACAGTAAAACTCAAAACAATTCCAAAGGATTATGAATTAAGACAAAAGCTAATTAAATATTACGAAATTGTTTTATTCGAACTGAAAGAGTAGCTAAAGAAGATTCGTTCATTTGAGTTTCCGTACGCACGAGCGTAGTGTTGCCAGCGGGCGCTGTGAAGTGTCGCGGAAACGCCACGATTCCAAGCTAGAGAGTCCCTGGCTAGTGCTTGGTGGACGGAGAGTCGCGAGGTCCAATCTAGTGTTCCCGGTTCTTTATTGGATTCCTCCACTGAATGCTTAGTGTCTATTTGCCTAGACCACCAATGAACGCGTCATTCTAAAAAACCCTTCACTGATTGGGTATTTTGTCCTCGCGTTGGGCTTATCAGCCAATGGGACAGCAGAACTGACGGAGGTGACAGGGTCACTGTGAGAGACTCTGCAGAGCCTTTCTTGGCCAGCGCTTTCTTTCTTTGGCTCCTGAGTTGGTTGGGTTGTTTGCGGTCGCCAAGGTCGGAGCTGCGAACGGAGGGGCTGGCTCCGCGCTGTCTGGGTGCTGCTACCTCACTCGTAGGTGTAGCCCTGATGGTACGGCAAGCCGTGGACTATTGAGACTCTGGAGCGGTATGTAGTTGTGCAGTCAAGAAGGCCGCGGAAAGCGGCCCCTGCACCAAGGCAGAGAATCCGTCTGGGTCGGGGGGTCCTGCCTGCCTTCTTGGCAGATCCCAACAGTGCGTCCCAGTAAGGCGCCTTAGAAACCCCTGTTCCCATGTGTTTCATGAAAGTGTTAGCTTTGTTCAGTTCCTCTCCATCCCGCCTCACCCTGCTTTTACTAGCACTAGCATTATTAGTGGGTATCATGTCCTTTTTTTCATTTCTCCAGGTTATTTTTTTGTGACTTTCTATTAGTTTTGTGTACCTGCATGTCTCCTAAGACTGGGAAGCCATAGTTTTGTTTGGTTTAATTCAAGAGAGACCTGTGCTCTCACATCTCTGTATATAAAAAGCTGTTCTTGGGGTTATTCGTGCTGTCAGCATCTCCTTTGGTGATACTTAGTGTACTGAAGTGTTAGGACAGTAACGAAGATGCTGGCGGAACAGGAGTCCCCATAGGATCAACTATTGTTCTGGTTTGGTATTTGCCAGGGTTCTGTTTAACGGGCTCATGTTCTTACTTTCTTTGATCTTGAACCTCTCAGGATTGTTCTGTGAGGAAACAGGTTCAGAGCAGTTAAGCCAGCTTCCTAAAGTTACGTTTAACTTTTGGAGTAAAGGGAAAGCCGAATTTGATCTTAATGCTTATTTTATTAAAGGTCTCTTAACTGAATAAGGACTTAGGTTTTATATATACTCTCTGGGGCTCTTAGCATCTGAGAGTTAATTCAATAAGTTGTATGATGAATTTTGGTTAAAAAAAAAATCTTTCAGGCCTTTGCCCCTTGTACCATCTTACTCCTTCTCAAAGTAGACTTCCTGATAAGCAGCGCAGGCCTCACCTCACCTCACCGACTGATTCAGAATTTGCTTTTTAGCGAGATTTCTTAGCTGCACCTGGCCAGGCAACGAAAAATCTTAAAATAGGCATGAATATTTAAACAGTAATTCAAAATCTTTTTTTTTTTTTTTTTTTTTGAGACAGAGCCTCAAGCTGTCCCCCTGGGTAGAGTGCCGTGGCATTACAGCTCACAGCAACCTCCAACTCCTGGGCTCAAGCGAGTCTCCTGCCTCCGCCTCCCAAGTAGCTGGGACCACAGGCGCCCGCCACAACGCCCGGCTATTTTTTGGTTGCAGCCATCCTTGTTGTTTGGCGGGTCCCGGCTGGGGATTCAAACCCGCCACCTCAGGTGTACGTGGCTGGCGCCTTAGCCGATTGAGCTATGGGTGCCAAGCCAGTAATTCAAAATCTTGTAGGACATCAAGTGCTGGTCTGACATGAAAGAAATGTTAAAAGCTACTGCTGACAATTAAAAATTTGAGAAACTTTACCCATACACAATTTGTTCACATGCTAATTTCCCACTAAAAATTTATCCCACAGGCTCGGTGCCTGTGGCTCAAGCAGCTAAGGAGCCAGCTACATACACCTGAGCTGGAGGGTTCAAATCCAGCCTGGACCCGCTAAACAACAATGACGACTGTAACCCAAAAAGAAAAAAAAAAATAGCCAGGCATTGTGGTGGGTGCCTGTAGTCCCAGCTACTTGGGAGGGGGAGGCCAGAGAATCACTTCAGCCCAGGAGTTGGAGGTTGCTGTGAGTTGTGATGTTACAACACTCTACCCAGGGCAATAGCTTGAGGCTTTGTCTCAAAAAAAAAAAAAAAAATTCTCCCACAGTTTTGTTTCATTAACCAAGAGCTTCCAGTAAGTTTGTTTGGAAGGAAAGGGTAGATTTACTACTGCTAATGGTTTTCCAGTTACTTAATTTGGTTATAAAACCAAGACCTAGCCCTAAATTCACATACTCTCCTGTTCAATAATTAAAGTCTCTTGTAAATTTTTGGCCAGGCAGGGTCTGAACCCGCCACCTCAGGTACATGGGGCTGGCGCCCTACTCCTTTTAACCACAGGCCCTGCCTCTGCATAGGGTTTTTTTAATATGGCCATAGCCTTGTTAAAAAGACATGCATTTATAGATCATGAAGTTTTAGTGATTCTGTTGTGTAGCACAAATCACCTGATGTGCTTATTAAAATAAATCTCGGATCCTACCTTCAAAGATTCCTACTTAGGATTGGGTAGAGCCTAGGAATTTGTTTTTTAGCAGTAATCCCGGTATATTCTGTTCACATCCATGCTTCTTGGCATTAGTGTTTTGGATAAAAACACAGCTAGAGAAGAATTTATTTTCTCTTGAACTTAATGCAATGCTTATTGTAAAACATGGTAAGAGGAGAAAGAATTTTTTGTCTTAATAGAGAGGAGAGAATTTTTTTTGCTTGCGTTATTATAGTTAATTGACTGCTGTAAAATTGCTTAGATTAGTTTATTTGGGTTATTTAAAAATTATTTTAAGGTCTGCTAAATTGGGAATAGAGAGGGTAGGATAGAATGAATCCTGAAATTATTACTTTAAAACATTTTTTTTTCTAGTCTTTGAAGGTAAACATTGAGTATTTGTGTGAAATTGATAGAATTAACACAGAAACACAAAATGATGTAGGGTTAAAGTTGTAACTTCTTGTCTGTTTCCATTTTCTTTTTTTTTTCTTGTAGAGACAGAGTCTCACTTTATCGCCCTCGGTAGAATGCTGTGGCATCACACAGCTCACAGCAACCTCCAACTCCTGGGCTTAAGCGATTCTCTGGCCTCAGCCTCCCGAGTAGCTGGGACTACAGACGCTTGCCACAATCCCTGGCTATTTTTTGGTTGCAGCCCACCACCCTCGGTATATGGGGCCGGCGCCCTACTCACAGAGCCACAGGCATGGCCCTGTTTCCATTTTCTTAACTGTTTCATCGGTATCTCTTACAAAATACCCTTTGTGACAAAAATATTGGTCATTTACCAGAATTCAGGCAGTGTGGTAGTTAGAAATGGATGTCAGTGTAACTTGTTATCAAGAATAACAAAGGAAAAGCAAAATGAATCTTAACAAGGGAGGGGTTCTCCTGACATTTCATATAAAATCCTTCTAATATGGGAGGCAAATCATGATTTCCATTTGCCTTTCTTATTTTCATTTAAATGCTACATGAAATGGGGTGCTTAACCACAGCTTCTACCTCTTATACAATTGGCCTGTATAAGATTGGCATCCCTGGATTCAACCAACCACGGATCGAGATACTGTAGTCTCAGAATACGAAGTTCAGGGGTACAGAGGGCTGACTGTATTAGTTAAGATCTTTGATGCTGTCTGGTAGTCCTGACCCATTCCTAGGCAGTTCTCAATTTGAACCTATTCCATATCAGTACTCTTTAAAGACTAGAAGTTTTCACTGTTTTGATTCTTGTTCATTTCAAAGGAATAGGAAGGCTGTAATTTTTTTTCAGGATTGTTCTACTGAGTATTTATCGAATTACTCCTTTTTTTTTGGCTGGGGCTGGGTTTGAACCCGCCACCTGCAGCTTATGAGCCACTCATTTGAGCCACAGGTGCTGCCCTAATGACTCCTTTTTTTTACTTTTTTCCCTCTCTTTTTACTTACAAGTATAGAATGTCATAGTGTCAACAAATGCCTCTTTAGGTTAGAATGGAACTCTCTAGTTACAAGGACAGTATGGGATATAAAAGGTCTTCACTCAAGAGTATTTTGTTCTATTTTTTCCCCAATTTGATTATTTATTTATTTATTTATTTTTGGCTGGGGCTGTGTTTGAACCCACCACCTCCGGTATATGGGGACAGTGCCCTACTCCTTGAGCCACAGGCACTGCTCCTGGTTTTAAAAAAAAATTTTATTATAGACAATTTTATAAATAGACAATTTATGTATATCTGTGGGGTACAAAGTGATGTTATGATCTGTGAATATAATATAGAATAAATCAAAATACTTAACCTGTCACTTGAGATATATATTTTTTGTGGTGAGAACATTTAAAATTTACTCTCAGCAGTTTTGTTAACTATTAACCATGCTGTACAGTAGATGTCAAAAAATGCTTTCTTATTTCTCCTATCATTTTGTGTCCTGTAACCATCATCTTCCCATTTTATTTACTGCCCTCCATACCCACTGCATTCTCTATTACTCCCATTGTGCTCTCTGCTTCTATGAGGTACATTGTTTTAAATTGCACATTTAAGTGACAGCATGCATTATTTATCTTTCTGTAGCTAGTTTATTTCACTTAGCATAATGTTCTTCATTTCACCCATGTTGTCATAAATGACAATTTCCTTCATTTTAAAGACTGAATAGTGGGCGGCGCCTGTGGCTCATTTTGGATAGGATTTGTGTTGGTGACAGCTTATAAAGCTTAGGGGTAAGCTGGTTTTTGTATCAAGATGCCCCTCTGGTATATGGGGTGGCGCCTGTGCCTCAAGGAGTGAGGTGCCTGCCCCATATACTGGAGGTGGCAGATTCAAACCTGGCGCCAGCCAAAAAAAACAAAACTGCAATAGGATGCTAGTAAGTGGCACCTAGAGGCAACATACCCACAGATCCCTTAGTTATACTCAGTCTTTTTTCTTTTGTCCTCAATTTAAAAAAATTGCACTACAGTGTTTTCATTTTGAAAAAAGCATCTGCGCTGGGCGTGAGGGCTCACACCTGTAATCCTAGCACTATGTGAGGCCAAAGTGGGTGGATTGCCTGAGCTCATGAGCTGGAGACCAGCCTGAGCAAAAGCAAGACCTCGTCTCTACTGAAAATAGAAAAACTGAGGCAAGATGATCGCTTGAATCGCAAGAGTTCGAGGTTGCTGTGAGCTATGATGCCAAGTTATTCTACCCAGGATGACAGTTTGAAACTCTGTCTCCAAAAAAAAAAAAGTATCTGCCAAATATTAGATTTTTTTATTGTGCATTTGTTTGCAGATTGTAAACATTTTATCTGGAATATGATTTTCTTTTTGCCATGTGGTATGAGTGTTTTTGAAACTGCTAAGAAGTTATCCAATACTGTTTATGAATAATTTTAACACCATAGAACTTATAACTACCATTTATTGAGCATTTACTATGTGCTAGTAAGCTATTTGGTAGCTGCTATAATTAACTCCATTTTACAGATAATGAAACTGAAACAAAGAGTTTAAAGGATTTTTCTAAAATCACAGTTATCCAGTAGTAGGTCCTGGGTCTGATTCAGTTGAGCCTTCTTTCATATTGAATGCATAAATAACTTTCTTGCGAGAAGTATCTTGTGGTTTTTTTTTGAGACAGAGCCTCAAGCTATCCCCCTGGGTAGAGTGCTGTAGCATCACAGCTCACAGCAACCTCCAACTCCTGGGCTCAAGTGAGTCTCCTGCCTCAGCCTCCCAAGTAGCTGGGACTGCAGGAGCCCGCCACAGCACCTGGCTATTTTTTGGTTGCAGCCATCATTGTTGTTTTGGCGGGCCTGGGCTGGATTCAAACTGGACACCTTAGGGTTGCCTTAGCCACTTGAGCCACAGGCGCTGAGCCTCTTGTGTTTTTTTTTTTTTTTAGAGTTTTATTCTGTTGCCCTCGGTAGAGTGCCATGGCATCACGGCTCACAGCAACCTCCAGCCCTTGGGCTTAGGTGATTCTCTTGCCTCGGCCTCCCAAGTAGCTGGGGCTACAGGCGCCCACCACAACACCCGGCTATTTTTTAGTTGCAGTTTGGCCAGGGCCGGGTTTGAACCTGCCACCCTCAGTATGTGGGCCCAGCGCCCCACTCACTGAGCCACAAGTGCTGCCTGCGAGAAGTATCTTTATTTCTCCTCTTTCCTCCAATCAGTACTACCGCATTTATCTTTGTATATTTCGATACATAATAAGCCAGTTCTATTTTATTACCTTTTTTCTTCAAAATTAGTAATCTTTCTGGACTTACAGAATAACTGTCTGTGTTGCCTGCACAATTGACATTGTTATTGAAATTAACATTAAACTCATTAATTTGTAGAAAGTATTTATATCTTTTTATTCTTCCTAAGAAGATTGTACTGTGTAATTTGGTTAATCGAAGTTACTATTTTTAACTTGCTGCATATCTGAAGATTAATCCTTGACATTTTGTTTCTTCGGCTTTTGTATGCCTAGCATGTTGGATTTTTAAAATACCCTGTTTACTTTTAAGAGATATGCTGACTTTAAAAGGACTGTGTAGAAAGTGGAAAGACGGAACAGTTTAGGAAATAGTAAATAAGATTTTCACCCAGTTCTATACTAACTAGCTTTTGTGACCTGGAGCCAATCATAAAGCTTTTCTGTGATTGTTTCCTTACCTGGCAAATTAATTACTTCAAATTCTATTTCATTCTTCTGATTCTTGCTTTTTCCACTAGGTAGTAGAATACGGGCACACTTAGATGGGCACCTCAGCCCAGAATCACTTGGACCTTTGACACTCTGTGGCCCTGGGGGCGAGCAAAGTGCCTTTCTTGGTTTCCAGCCTTCTTTGCTGCCCTCCTTTTTCCAAGGGCATTTTATCTTTTGTAGACCCAGTATGCCAAGTTTTTGTTCACAGATGAATAAGAAAAAAAGCTGTCACTTTTCCTTGAGACACTTGTTTTAGGCCTAGAAATGTTTCAGAGGAAAAAAAGCACCGGCAGTGTTACAGTTTGAGAAGTGTAGTGAAAGTTACAAGCTTGAACTGTAAAGATGTTGTATATTGTGACTTTTGAGTTAAGATGTGTATTGCTAAGAAGGAATTTATTGGAATGTTGAGGTGACATATGTTCACTAAACATTGTGCACACATAAATTGCTTATGTTCATTTTACTTTTCTCAAACTGTAGAGTTGCCAATTTTTAAGTTTTTGTGTGATTTAGAGTTATCTGTTTCTTTCTTAAAGGTGTAATGCTTGTTATTTAACAAATGCCATAATATACCTCAACAGCCTAGAACTAATTTTGCAAACTTTTTCTATAGAATTTAAGAAGATTTTATTCATGTGCATGGTATAGAAGATGAATTCTTCCTGCTCCACCATGAATGAAGAACCTGATGCTCTATCAGTAGTTAACCAGCTACGAGATCTAGCAGCAGATCCCTTAAATAGAAGAGCCATCGTCCAGGATCAGGGATGTCTGCCTGGCCTCATTTTATTTATGGACCATCCCAACCCCCCTGTTGTTCACTCTGCTTTGCTTGTAAGTTGCCTTTAGAAATTTGTTTCTGTGTTTTATTTTTGTAATTAAGACAAATTTGAAAAGTGGTAGCTGACATGGTAAAAAATGGAGACTACAGAGTCTGTTTATAGTCTGTATTTCTGTATGTGTGTAGTCCTTTTATACAAATGGTAGTTTTCTGCACTGTTTTTGTTCTTTAATACAAATGGTAGCATACTACGTGCATGGAATACAACTTTTTTCACATAACATGAAGTCTTGGATTATGTCATATCAGTATTCTATTTTGTGACTAGCCTTTTCACATAGCATAAGGTTTATCCTTATTGTAGCATTTACTGGTATTTCATTCCTTTCCAGAGCCGAATAGTAGTCCACTGTGTGCCATGCTATCTGTCCATCATTACTTGATGGACATGATACTTGTTTTAATATAAGATGAAGTTCAACCTGAGAAAGCTGATTAAAAGAAAAAGAGAAAAATATGTGAGATCGTGGCTAAGAAGGAGCTATCATGTTATGGGAAACATGAGGGCTAGAGTAAAATGTGTTAAAAAAAAAAAAACAGTACGAAGCAATCAGATAAATCCAGAATGTGATAATTTCTACAAAGAATGGAAGTTGGGTAGAGGAGAGGGAGGGCAAATTAAAAGACACTTAAGGGACTTACCAGCCAAATGTAATGAGTGGACCTGATTTGAACATGTCAATAGTAAACATATTTTTTAGATAGCCCGAAGTGAATATGATTAGCTAGTAGATTATGAATAAATCATTATTGCTTTTGCAGGGAATTACAATAGTAGTTTCATTAAGTTAATTGAAAAAAAAAGTCCTAGGTAAAGCAGTATTTAATGCAATACTTTTGACAATTTTGTTGTTTTTGCATTACCTTGAATGCTGGGAAGATGTATGTTTTGCTTGTTCATTATAAAAATAAGTAAGCGTGAACAAGTGGATGCTAAGTCTAAGTCATCAAACACAGAAACAGCCCTGCTGTGTCCCTTAATCTGTAATAAGCAAGTGTAATAATTAAAGTTTTGTTGTGAATATAGCTTACAAGAAAAAATTTTGATAGGAATAATACTGTACGTTGCTGTTTTTTCACTACTGGTAAGCTTTATGACTCATAGAATTTTATTATATGCAGTATTTTGCATAGAAATCTTTTTTGGCTGTAGTCGTCATTGTTGTTTGATGGGCCCGGGCTGGATTCGAACCCACTAGCTCTGGTGTATGTGGCTGGCATCCTAGCTGCTTGAACTACAGGCGCTGAGACTGCATAGAAATTTTATAATTGACTCAAGCACAGTATCTTGTTTCTAAGTAGAAGTTGCAAATCTGAGTCAGTATTCATAGTTCTTCATTTGGCTATATAGAGGACTTCTTAATGCCTTTTATTCATCTTTGAGAGCGCTATTTTTAAGAGGAAGTTAAAAAATGTATTAGAGTGACATAGTTAAAAGTTATACTTTCAGAGAATTATACAGGCTAATACTGGATGTAATCTTTTTTTTTTTTTTT